CTATTCAATACTATATTGTTGTATATATGTATTTACAATCATACTATATACAACATACATGCATACATACAACAAACAACAACAACAACATACATACAACAACATACCATATAACAAACTCCTCGTGTGAACGCAGCAATATACATATATATATACACATAATATACATATATATACATATATATTTACACATATATACATATTATACTATATGCAGTTATATTTTCACCGGCTAACCGGCAACAGATACACATTGGTGCAGGCACGCTGATAACTATGCAATTGCAGATCCATCCATGCATCGCGGCGGAACACCCCAGGGAATTTCGCGCCAATGCTTATTTCCGACAGGTCACTGCACCTCGTTGCCACGGTTACATGTAGCGAGATGGCGGTGTTTACCGTAACACATGCTGCTGTCGGTGATCCCAGTCCGTGCGCGTGCTCGGACGCCCGTTGATCTGCGGGCACGGCACGCACTCGGTCTGTTCCTGCTGCTGCTGGTAGGTTCCGCGCGGGCAGTCCCTGCACTCCCCGGACCCTGTGTGGTAGTACATGCCTTCCGCACAGGCCACTGAAAACACATACGAATGCCGTTATATAGTACACTGCAAGAATCACAGAAAATTGATGCAGACGTGGAAGCATGAGAAACTGTCTTCCGGGTAATTTTCCGTAAATTATGCTGTGATTAAATGTGACGATCTTTACTGGCCAGGAGAAGTAATAATTAAAAAGTACTATGCACCCCACGCACGCATGCACACACGTACGCACGCACACACACACACACACTACACCATGACAATATAGGGCAGTGCCGAATTACAAACCCTACACTTTTTCTCCATGAAATTTCAACCATAATTCAGTACGCCTCGTAAACAATCTAGATAAACAACAGAGCATCCTTAGCGGAACATCCGCGTCTCAAGCGCCACTGCCTTCGCCACGGCGTCGTTGCGCAGGGGTGACGACGATGATGACTCACGCAAGCGCAGTTCGATGAGAGCGCGGTCGTGGTGGGGCGCGTCAGCGCGCGCCGCGTTCGGCTGCGCTGCACCGGTGCTGTTAGGCTCTTCTACTTTTTTTTCTAATTAGCTACGCTTTATAACTCGGTAATCATTATGCTGCAGGTAATCATTCCATCGCACCGCCTTACGGCTCTTGCTTATCGCTCCCGCTATGATCCGCGCGCCGCGCAGCCCCGGGCGATGAAGCTGCCGGTGGCGGAGAACACGGCTCCGTTCCGCGCCGTGATGCACGCCACCTCGATGCCCATCGACGGACAGCTCGGCTCGCGGCACAGCGGCGCCCCCTCGTTGATCTCGCGCACGCGGCCCGTCACCGCCGCCTTAATCGTCGCGGTGAGGTCCGGCGAGCATCCGTCCGCGCCGCGGTAGTTCATGCGGAACATGATCTCGGAGTCCGGCTTGCTCGTGTCTGCGCGACAATGGGGAGAAAGCGTGATCGCGCGAGGTCATGTGGAGAACGTTGCCTGGATATCGTGTAGGTAGAGTTTTCGATATTGGATTGTTTCGTATTGCTGTGATGGGGATGGCAGCTGTCGAATGGGATAGCCACGCAGATACGTATGGATACTTATACACGCATGCAAACACATGCACGCACACGCACGCACGAATTCCCACAACTATGCACGCACGCAGGCACGCACACAGGCACGCACGTACGCAGGCATACACGCACGCACGCACATGTGTATGCGCGCGCCTGCGCATGTAGACATGTATAATTTGTTTTCTCGACAGTGATTTAGGCAGTACCGACAATCAAACACTCACTCGTGCAGCTAGGGTAGGTGAGCTTGTTGGCAATGCCGCGATTCGGCCGCCAGATGCCGTCCGTGCCGCACGTGTAGAAAGCGGGGAGTGGCTGTGGGAATCGCTGCCCGTCAAGCTCACAACTGATGTAGCAGTTCATCTGACCATTCGGACCGGTGACCTCGCAGCTTGCCCTGACACCTGGTGGCACTTCTGGCTCTTTGCATGGCTCGCCTGTGAAATGAACATGAGAACATCAAATAAGAATGGATATGAATAGCAGAACTACTATGAATAGCAGACTTGGCTTATTTAAATGTAATTTTGACTGTAGGCCATCGATGTCCCTGTTTAGAGTTCAGACAGTCTTCATAGTATTCATCGTTTAGTCTTTGTAATATTATTAATAGGCAACAACAGGATATAGAACAAAGAAGTAGTGCAATAATTATTCTACTGCGTTACTTCTCTTATAAGGATGTTTGTGTGCGTAGATACGCAGTACGGCTACCTATAAATCAACAAAACCATACATTTTCCTATATATATAAATTACCACGTTAATTTTCCACATTCTCACGTTCACCAGTCAAGATTGACAGCTGTGTCTCTATCAGCATGTCGACTCAACTATGTGACCACTTCCCCACTAATCATGACATGAGACAGAGGTGACCATTAGTGCATATCAACAGGGCAACTACGTGCACCTACTGGTCACTCAGATTCTGCTGTGAAATTATGGAAACTAGGGAACTAGGGAAACTAGGAAACTAAGGAAACTGTAAAACTAGGAAAACTAAGGAAACTGTGAAACTAGGCAAACTAGGGAACTAGATAAAAAAAATGTGATATTAGGTAAACTAGGGAACTAGATAAAAACTGTGAAATTAGGTAAAGTAGGAAACTAGATAAAAAACTGTGAAACTAGGTAAACTCGCCACGTCATGGCGTGCGAGCGATACGTACGTATGACGTAGACCGTGAAGCTGCACGTTCCGCCGTTTCCGGCCGTGTCGTAGGCGGCGTACGTGACCTCGTGCTCGCCCCACGTGAAGAGGTCGCGCGAGTGGAACGTCTGGTTCAGGTAGGCGATGTCGCGATCGTCGAAGAATCGCGGCTCCGGCCACTCGATCGCCGTCTGCCGGAACGAGCTGACCACCCGGATGTTCGGCGGACACAGCTCGGCCTGCGGTGGGATCTTATCTGCAATCGAATTTCGGACGGCGGTCAGTCGCGTGGGGGAGGGGAGGGTATCCAGGCGCGGATTTAGGCCGGTTTGCACCAGTTTCCAGAAACCGGTCACAGGCTGGGCATCTTCAGAATTGACCCTCAAAATTCACCAGAATGCACCACATATAGCCTAATTTTTTTTAAATTACCGAGGGGCATGCCCCCGGACCCCCCTAGCTGTGACTAGAACTATGGAAACTGGTCACCCAAACCCTCTGAATCCGCCCCTGGGTATTGACGCGACAACCTTGTGGGTTCACAGCTAGAGAGGACTTCTAGGTGGACGTTTCGACGGCGATCATTGCAGTCGTGTCGACCGCCGGGTTTGGGTGCGTGAATCTGATGGATAACGATCTCTGACAGGGTTTAAGGTCGTGGCAAAATGGACCACGTGATGGAGTGTGAAACCCAGTGCATAACAAAGCACGTAGTGCAGCGCACAACGCAGCACATGGCGCACATAACACAGTACATGGCGCACATAACACAGTACATGGCGCACACAACACAGTACATGGCGCACATAACATAGTACATGGCGCACATAACACAGAACACAATGCAGTACAAAATGCAGCACATATTGCAGCACATAATGAAGCACACAATGATCAAAGCACACCACGAAGCACAAAATGCAGAATGGAGTACGTGAGAATACATGCTCAGATACTGCTAGCCTAAACACTGAACAAGTGTCTTCAAAATTTACACCCCAGAGCTACGAGAAAAACATTTTCAAACCATACACAGCAGAAATACCTTCTGTGGTGATATTGCAGAAGCTACCATCGTAGCCTGGGCGGCAGATGAGTGAACCACAATCAGAATTGTGTACAACCTCCACCTTGCCTTCAATGTTGTCGTAACCAGACCAGCGTAGCGCCAGTCCGTTGAAGATCACCGGTGCTTCCTTGCATCCCGATGCCTGAAAACATCACGGTTTATTATCCCTACTGTACTGCGTGTGAACCTCTAGCTTAAGTATTCATAGTATTTAATTTATTTAATTATTAATGTAAAGATGGTACATTGATAAAGTTATATCAACTGTTGTTGATAGCACAAGCCAGAGTAAATAAGTCGCCCTAACACGTAGCTATATACACCCACCTGCGGCACAATCTCCGTTTCAATATCGAGAGCTCTCCTCCAGACGTTCACCCGGCTGATGTGACCGTAGAAACCTTGTCGAAACGCGTTTTCATTTCCCTGGAGGCGGTTGCCTAGCGACACCCAAGCACTGCAAAGGAACAGGAAATTGTTTTGGCGCGCAGTATTGGACAAGTGGGAAGTTCGTTGTAGAAACAAAAATAATGGTTTCTGAAAGAACTAGCACAGCACATAACACACGGTTACAGATAGCTATACATATTTTCTCGAGAAAACAATGAAACTATTCAACCCAACCAGCATGATAACCATATTGAATCGTCCACGCAATGCCAGCTCATTCTCTCTGCTTAATTTCTACAGACAGCAAACACTACTACTAACTATCCCCTACTAACCCCTCACGACAGCAAACACTCTATTCCTCACTACCCACTCGTTACAGCAAACACTCTACAACTTACTACCCCCTCACGACAGCAAACACTCTATTCCTCACTACCCCCTCACGACAGCAAACGCTCTACAACTTACTACCCCCCTCTGAACAGCAGACACTACTACTCACTACCCCTTACTACCCTCTACTACTTACTACACCCTATTAACCCCTCGCGACAGCCATCATCCACCCCCCCCCACCCCCCACGCGCTCCACCACACTTACTAGGGCGGCAGCGAGCGTCCGCTTCCCAGTCCCTCTCCCTCGGCGAACGTCTCTCCGTCGACGACGACCGCGTAGTGTCCCGGCACGGACTGCCACGTGAAGACGACGTGGTGCCACTGTCCGTTGTTGAGCAGGCGAGGCGTCTGCTTGTTGCGGCGGAAGTCGACGAGCAGCGGCGGCTCGTCCGGCCAGAAGCTGACGTACAGGTTGTCCGCGCTGACGTGCATCACCTCCTTCTTGCCGACGAGGCTGTTGGGAAGGCTGCGGAAGATATAGAGAAAGATAGAGTGTGTGTGGCGTCTATATACTTAACGCGTGAGTGCGTGGCATGCTTAACGTGTACATACTTAACGCGTGAGTGCGTGGCATGCTTAGCATAATGCATGAAGCTGTGTGCGTGTGTTTGATTATAAATGATATTATATATATGAGAAAGACGTGTGTAGAGTGTGAGAGTGAGTGTGTGGTGTGATTACTATAACGTGTGAACCTACTACTAGCTGTGTGTGTGAGAGTGAGTCTGTGTCTGCGAGAGAGAGAGAGAGAGAGAGAGAGAGAGAGAGAGAAAGAAAGAAAGAGAGAGAGAGAGAAAGAGAGAGAAAGAGAGAGAGAGAAAGCGAGAGAGAGAGAGAGCGGGTGTGTTTGTGTGCGTGTGGCGTGCTCATCGTAACGCACGGAGCTAGAACATACGTACTCTAACACGTGAAGCTAGTATATAGTGAACTGTGTATATATATATGTTATCATTACAGAATTGTGTAAATATTCTGCTAAGGAATATAGGTAGTCTGCTCGAAGTTTACTGCTACTGAGTCATAGAAGGAGACGATGCATTTAACAAGCATGCAATGCTACTGTGTGGTGCAAGTAGATATTACACTAAAGACAATTTCGTAAACGTTCACTACTACAATTAAGTCGCGACACCAACACGAACGCCACACTGCGTGCCGTAATCATCTATCTCTCACTCACGGGATGCGGAACATAGTGAAGAACGTTCCGTGAATGTCGAAGGTTGGGAACCGCACCCACATCGCCACGGTCAGCTGGGTGGAGCGTAGCTCGAAGGGAAACTTAAGGCTAGCACTCGCCGTCTTGGACTCATCGAAGAACGACAGGTCATAGTGTGGGTTGACGGCTGTGGATGTAATTAGAGTTAAAAATTAAATTAAAAGCTTTAGTTATTATTAAAAATTAAAACCAAATTAAAAAAAAAAAATTGAAAATATTTTCAATTTCAATTTAATTTCAATTCAATTTTTTTGCGGACGTGTTGAAGCCGTTAATACCGCAAATACAAAATCGATATCAGCTTATTTATTAATCATGCCCCGACCGTTTTTCACGTTCGTAAAAAAAAAATCATTCGTATGCAGAAGTTGGTAGCATAATAAAGAGCGAGATGGGTTAATTATGATTTACTGCGAAGTTAGTCCGAAGAAAATTAGGACACACAGTTTAAATGATGTATCATCACACTTTGTAGAATGGTAATATGTGTGTGTTCTCACACCGTTATGTACTTCCTACGGCATAGCTGGCAAAGCAAAAGCACTTACTATATGACTACAGTGCATTCTACTAGGACTGGATATATGCTATCCATACTCACGTTTGTCACAGTTGGGGCCAGTGAAGTTGAACGGACAGGTGCAGAAGTACTCTTCGATTCCATCTAGGCAGATGGCGTTGGCTGGACAGTCGTGTTTGTCACAGTCGTTCACTATCTCTTCACAGGTCGAGCCCATGAAATCTGTAACGACATTTTATCGAGTCAGTCACTCAGTGTTGAAATAAGCCTTGCTATTATTAGAAGTGTGTCTAGACTCTGTTCCAACTGTTTGACATTTTGACTTGTTTCTACGTTGGAATTTTTAGCAGGGACTTGCAGGTTGGGTGTATGTCAGATAAATGAGGAAAGTCTGGCACTCAAGATGCACCACGTACCTTATCCACCGGCAGAGCAATGGACAGGTGAAAATACAGGTATAAATCAGAAGATGTGTATTAATTACACTGCTTCCAGGTGCAGGTGCATCTTCGTAAAATCACGAATATCGACATTTAGATCTTATATCACCAAACCCCGAATACAGGAGACCTGCACGAAAACCACAGGAAATGTCATCGTCAACTTAGCTGTTCGGACGTTGAGGTTAACGAGGTGCATCACGATGACAGTTAACGAGCGTGTGCAGGTGAGTGCGACAGTTAACGAGCGTGTGCAGGTGAGTGCGTACCTGCCGGGCAGCTGCAGTTGAAGCCATGATCGGTGTCCTGACATACTCCGCCATTCTTGCACGGTGACGACTCACAGGTGTTCGACACGTATTGGCAGACGACACCGTCGAAGCCTTCACGTTGACAAACAGTACGGTATAGTATCAAACAATCACGAAGGCATATACCTAATACGTATACTTTTGTATGTATGCTCGTTCTTTAGCTGATATCGCGTTTATAATAGTCATATAGCAACAGCGATTATAACCGTTTCATTTAGTTTTAAGCACATCTACAAATGCAAAGCTTGTAAAATTCAGGTAGCGCTAAAATTACTCAATATTATTCTCTATGATTCTCTATTATTCTATAATAAAATAAATGAATAATCCTTGTACGAGTAGTGTTGCTAGCTAATATTAGTTTGCTAGAGAGTGTTGCTGCCCCTGTGCAGCTGCCCTTATTGCAGCCCAGACTTACCTGGAGCACACAGGCACTGGAAGCCCTGCTCCTTCGTCATGCAGGTACCCTTGTTCAGACAGGGATCGCCTGCACACGGATCTGCGCTGAACTCGTCTCGACAGCTTTTGCCCGCAGTGCCCTCAGGGCATCTGAAAAATTATAGGTAAAAGGATGTAAATAATAAAATATGTAACGGATCTAAAAACGTATGTTGCAGTACAGTGGTAGTTTTTTATGGTAGTGGTATTTTTCAGTAAAGATAAACGTAGCAAAAATGATAAATGTAACAGATTTAAAAACTGATATTTCAGTATTTATTTATTATAAAAAAAAGGAAGACTGGTGCCCCATGGATTAAGGACATGGTGAATCCGTGGATATTTATGGAGACTGGCACATCGGAATTCTAAGAATATGTCATACATGGCACCTTCCAGATAATCTGCATCAAAATATTTTCTTGTAATATCAACTGGAATGAAGAAGAACAGAAAACCAAAGTTCGTTTTTCATAGGGTCTACGATACGAAATTAAAAACATCACTTTGGCATGAACCAGGGTGAAAGGTCGCTTCGTTGGATACGTACACGCAGTAATAGTCCTGGAAGAGATCGATGCAGGGGGCGCCGCGTGCGCACGGGTGGCCGCGACACATGCTCACCAACTGCTGGCACGTCGACCCCGCCCAGCCCTCTGGACATGCGCAGGAGAATAGCTGACCCTCCTGCTGGCACGTGCCGCCATTCTTGCAAGGCGACTTCTCACACGGGCTCACCTGAACCTGTGCCGCACACATGAAAAGATATATATATATATATATATTATAGCTAGAGATTAAGAGATATATACATTATAGGTACAGTCAAGATATATATATATATATACATATATATTATATATAAATGTATATATAGATATATATGCATGCATAAACACACGCACATGCACCAATGCACACACGTGCACAGTACAACACACACAGTATAGTTCCAAACATTATACAACACTAGTATGAATTCACGTACAATTCGTGAGACGCCACTCGGTGATATATATATGTTACCTGGTGTAAAGAACAATTAAACCACTAAACACCACTACATCCGTTCACCATGAGAACACTACTATTACAGGGTTCATGGTAGTAAGACACATGTTGAAATAAGGACTTATAAGACCCTTTCTGGAGGCCAAAATAAGACTTTTTTACGCGATTTCTGATAGATCACCGACTATTAAAGTACACTATAATATTTATATAAAGCCGTTTCGCCGAAATTCTACACAGAAAATGTTGAAAAATGGTCCTTTGGCAAAAAATAAGGACTATTAAGTACTTTTCTAAGATTTCACCAAAAATAAGTACTAATAAGGGCCCTTATTTTATTTTTGGCAAAATAAGTACTTATAAGACTTTGGAAGACCCGCTACGAACCCTGTATTAATAACGATAACGATGAGTCATCGCGTATGGAGTACGAACCTGGCAGTGCTTGCCACCATAGCCCGGTTCACAGTCACACAGATAGTCGTTGATGAGACCGACACACCGCCTCGCCTTGCCACCACACGGATTCGACGCGCACATGTCCAGTGCCGACTCGCAGAACTCGCCTGCCAAAAAAAACATGCGAGCATCAGTGACCTCGCCCGAAAATCGACGCGCCGAAAAACCAAGCGCCGAAATATAATCTGCAGTCCTTTAGAAAAAACCGCCGAAAGACTACCACAATCCTTCACAAAGCAAGACTACAAAATCCGTCAAAAAGCTTTGCGAGTCGTGCACCAGGTGGCGTTACCTGTGAATCCGGGCTGGCACTTGCAGGAGTAGGAGTGTAACCCGTCGACGCACGCCCCGTTCGCGCAGCGGCTCCTGCCCCCCGCGCAGTCGTCGACGTTGTGCTGGCAGTCTGCGCCGGAGAATCCAGCGAGGCACTGGCAGCGGTAGCCGCCGCGCGTCGACGAGCAGCGGCCGCCATTGCGACACGGAACGCGCGCGCACCCGTCGACTGCACTCTCACACAGCACGCCTGCAACACGCGGGGGGAGCGGAAATTAATTACAGCGCCATCTGGCGTGAGGTTATCACGATGATGGTATGTTACGGACGCAGTTAGGAACGTTACAGATACAGTCAGGAACATTACAGATATAGTCAGAAACGTTACAGATATAGTCAAGAACATTACAGATACAGTTAAAGGGACACATAACTCTAGGTTCCTTGCATATTTTCAGTTAACATAAGTTTAAATTGCGTTACATTAAAAATTTAATTGCTCAATATTTATTAGAATATTTTCAATTTTTTTAAATGATTTAAAACTAACGACTGTATCATTGCTTATAACGACGGTGGCGCCACTACAAACAAGTCCATCTACTTTCAAAGTTATGCATCGCAACTTTGCTCAAATGATCGATGATTCGACACTTAGAGTGGAACTTTTTCGAGTGTGATTTTTGCTCGTGAAGTTCAGGATGAAGTTACGAGCGCACAGCGGCAGAGTATTAGCCAGGAATGAGTATTGTGGGAGTGCAGAAAAAATATTTGGGAGTGCAATTTTACAAATGTACACGGCTTTAGATCAATATTTTAGGCCGCGCTATACAGTTTTGGCCGTGCAGTTTCAAAACTGACCATGCAAATCACAGCTGCACGGCTCGCTGGCTAATACGTTGTGCGGCGGCATACCTGTGAAACCCTCCTCGCAGAAGCAGGTGAAACCTCGGTCGTCGTCGACGCAGATGCCGCCATTCCTGCACGGTCGGTTCACGCACACGCTGATGTACGACTCGCAGCGCGGCCCCGTCTTGCCCGCCGGACAGTGACACGCGTACGACTCGACTTCGTCCCTACAGGTGGCGTTGCCGACGCACGGCTGATCGAGGCAGTCATCTGCGATAAAGGATTTCGTCGGTGAATTTTACGGGTTATTTTTGAGAGAAAAAACTACATTTAAATGTTAATACAATAACTTATTGATGTTAATAAGTCAATATAATATATATATATATATATATATTATATATAATATATAATTATTATATAGTTATATATAATTTGTAATATATTAAAAATTATTAGGTCAATGAAATGGACCAAATACAGACACTGATATTGACGCGTCATGAAGCAATTTACCGATGTTAATGTTGCATGTCCTGCCAGTCCAGCCAGGATTGCACTGGCACTTGTACTGGCCATCCGCTAGTGCCTCACATCGACCATTTATGCACGGACTATGGGAGCCGCTGCACGGGTGATCATCACTGTGGTCACAGCTGGAACAACATAGATGACAATTTATACGCAAGCAGAAACCGCTCTATCATATACTGTGCAATCGTCCTCCATCTTCTCAAGCATTACACATTTTTTATTGTGAATCTGAATCTAACATCTTTCGCTTACATGCATGCACACGCTCAAGACTTGACTATAAAAACAAACATAGATATTATAATACAATTATAATATAATGAGTATATAATATAAGTATATTAATAGTAGTATAATATAAATACACGTGTCAGCTTGAAGCCGATGTTACGGATGTTTATCTGATCGAACTTACAACTTTCCACTGAAGCCTTGCTTACAGATGCAGACGTAGTCGCCATCTAAGCTGAGGCAGGTGCCGTTTGCACACCGGTTATTTCGGCAATAGTCAGGCGCCACCTCACAGCGTGCACCCTCAAAACCTTTGGAGCAAAGGCATTAGGTATTAGATATTAGGCATTAGGTATTAGGCACTAGGTTAAACAAACGTCAACGTCCACAAGTTGCAGCCAGTTTTCATACTTTATATCAGAATGGAGTACTAAAATGACCTAAAATACACAACAACTACATTGCTTCAACGGAAAGAAGATTCTATGAGAAGGAAAGACGTCTACAACTCTGCACCGCCGTACGACATCATGTTCAATGGTTACAGTTGTCTGCTAACTATAGTAATAATACTAAGCATTGCCAGAGTATTCGTCAACTAATTAATTAACTAATTAATTAAACAATGAGCACTACAGTAACTAACGCAGTCCACTGAATGATGAACAGACCGTGCAATCGTAAAGTAGTGAAGCACACATACCAGCGGGACAATTGCAGGCGTATCCGTCGTTCGTGTTGCGACAAGAGCCGCCATAGAAGCAGGGCGATGAAGCGCATGGTTGCTGTCTGCTATCACAGAACTCTCCCTCCCAGCCGGGTCCACACTGGCAGCGCACTTTGTGGTTCGCAAAGTAACAAGTGCCTCCGTTGCTACACGCGGGCCCTCTAGTGCACGGGTTTTCTGCAGCAGCAAGTTCAGTACGATTAAGGTCCGCCGAAAACAACGTGCCAATAAGCGGACGGAAGCACATTACAAAAAAAGCGATGGTAAATAATAGATAGGTAGATATATCTCGTAGACGTGCTTGCATTTTGCTCACTGAAAGTCTATCAAAGAACTCAATGCTAGGTTATAGTTTGAGCTCGAGGTTGAGACACTCTGGAAGGTTCTCAGCGAAATCTATCAAGCTCATGAGCACAACGTCTCTTAATGAGTTGAGCATCGACTAACATACTTACCGACACAGTCCATCACTACCTCCAGATAGGTTTTCGTGTCAGCACAGGGGTTGATGAACGAACAGGCTGATCTACCCTGACATTCGTTTTGTACCTGTAATTACATGAGTTATACGAAGTTTATATATAATCTTGCCTTCTCAAATAGTAAAATCAGCTAGACATGAGGTTATCGAAATAAACTTATCGATTGTATAATCACGGAACAACATATAGAAGAGATCTACAAAATATATTTCATGTGTTCCTCCTCATAATTTGGTGAGGCCAGTATGCATGTAAATTCTATTCAGGGACAGATATATAATTATATAATATTTATTGTAAAGTTAACAAAAGGATGTGAAAATATCATCTGACTGTGGAGAGCAAGCCAATTCTATAACCCAAAGAGTGTAACACGTGCAAACCGCATACTTTGAAAGCGATGTCTTCGATCGCGCACGCAGGCCCCGAGTAGGGCACCGCCTGACACTTCTGCACCCAGTCATATGTGTTGATATCCACGAGTCTCAGAGACTGCAGGGACAGCACCTCGTTGCTGGTTGCACACTGCATGTTCGCCTGCTGTCGAGCGCAAACGTAGTCTCCATCTGTGAACAGCGCAGAGACGTGAGCAGCGCAGCAAGCCAGCCACCGCTCACGGCGTGAAACCCAACCGTGGATGCCACAGTGGTTGCTACGTTTCAGAAATACTAATACATACTAAATATTAAACGTCTGCTCATCCAACGATCGAAAGTTTCAGAACATAAAAAAATATTCACTACATGCATACAAATATAAATACAGCATTTAAGGGTGCACTCAAGGTTTAATGCGAAATTTCATTGATATTTTTCATTTGTAGTCGATGGCTAACACTAGGTGCCACCTCTGTACATGCTTATTTCTCCATATACCGATGCCTGTAAACTTATAGAGCGTTTTGATTGTCCACGTGTGTGTGTAGTGAGTCGTGGCCCTTTAAACACACATTTACTGATGACGTCAGAGACATGATGGCATGGTTACTACGTAATTTTTCACGATTTCCTAATGGTGCACAGAACATTTTAATACAAATCTAAATGCTGTGTTTAAATGCGATCCCAATGAAGCAAACTCACCAAACGGGCGCAGGAATGGAGAGCCGGTGTCTGACTGGTACAAGTAGTTGGACGTGTATCGTGCTCTCAAGCTCAGTAAGTCACATCCATAAGATTGGCTGAAAAATTCCCACAGATGTATAGATATGTGATATTGACATGCACATCGAATTCTACAGCAATATTTTCACTGCGATGACATTACACATGTCATATTACTATAAGATACCAGCATGCAAACAAACATGCACACCTAACACAAACACAGTAGTATTATGCGGTAAATTTACCATGGACACATCGATATTGATATTATTCCGTAGTATCGTGCACATGTATAGCTTCCACACGCACACACGCGTTTACGTCACTGAAGTTACACCATCTCACCCACTAACAGCGCACATTCTGGAATGAATTACCATCACTCTCCCGCCTTCCACTGCCTAGTATAATGGAGCAGCAGTAAATAGAGGAGAACATAGTGCAGTAGAACCGTAACTAGGGGCAGCAGCAGTACCTGAAGTCGACTCCGACGCACACCGGGTAGTTGATCTCCTGACACTTGGTGATGCAGAAATTGAAGTCGCGAACGTCGTAATGCCTGATGATGACACCAAAGCCGTTGTCTTGAGACTGTGACGGCACAGAGACGGGCGGCTCGCCGGAGGCCCACTGCGGCTTGTACTCGATACCTGCACACACACACGTACACACATGTATACACATGTTCAGGGCAGTGGCAGTCTGAACAGATGGTGCCTACCTTTCAGGTAACACTGGACTCAGGGCAGGTGCAGTGTGGACGATGGTGCCTACCTTTCAGGTAACACTGGACTCAGGACAGGGGCAGTGTGAACAGATGGTGCCTACCTTTCAGGTAACACTGGACTCAGGGCAGGTGCAGTGTGGACGATGGTGCCTACCTTTCAGGTAACACCTGACTCAGGGCAGGTGCAGTGTGAAAGACGATGCCTACCTTTCACGTAACACTGGACTCAGGACAGGGGCAGTGTGGACAATGGTGCCTACCTTTCAGGTAACACTGGGCTCAGGGCAGGGGCAGTCTGAACAGATGGTGCCTACCTTTCAGGTAACACTGGACTCAGGACAGGGGCAGTGTGAACAGATGGTGCCTACCTTTCAGGTAACACTGGACCTAGGACAGGGGCAGTGTGGACGGACGGTGCCTACCTTTCAGGTAACACTGGGCGATGCTCATAGCTCCAGAACTCTCTGTCGATGTGAGAGCCGGACACTCGTTGCAGAATTTGTTGCCGGCGAGGTTCTGGTAGAAGTCGCGTCTGCAGGGTTGGCACGGCGCCAGGCCCGTATCCGAGTAAGTGCCCGGGGCGCATGGCACTGCAGAGAGAGGAAGAGATAGTGCCAACACTACTCAGACACACACACGCGCGCACGTACGCACGCGCACGCTCACGCACACACACACGCACACGCGCACGAACACGCACGCACGCACACACACACACACCAATGCCTGATTCGATAAGGCCAAGTTGCCATTGGGAATATACTAAATATGTACACAGATAGATACTTACACACACATGCACACACGCACACACACACATATATTAAGAGAGCAAGAGAAAGAGACATAGAGAGAGAAGAGACAGGTGTCTCTAACATGTTGCCATTACTTAGCGCTGCCCATGAATTAATATATAACTTTATAAGGCATAATTTTAGAACTACAGAACAGACGTCATTACTCACCACTGCACGACAGAGAACCAACGACCGCTGTGAAGGTTTTCGGTGGGCATTCGCTGCATTGTGTCGATCCCACATCGGACCCGTACGTATTGAACGGACACGGATCACACGGAGGAAGACCCGTCCCTGAGAAATACCCTCTCGGACAGAGTCCTGCAAGCAAGAATATCGGTTCCATCTTGATCAGATTATGATCATCTTAATAGACAATCAAGACATTTATATGTGACTCTCCTCTAAAGTGGTAACGAATTTTGAACTTTTCATAGTAATAGTACGTTTGCATGTTCACGGAATATACATCTTTCAACAAATGGATATTTTCGCTTTGAAATATATATTATATTGAAAAAGACATCTTTCAACGAAAGGATATATTTTCTTTGAAATATATATTGTATTGAAAAAGACATCTTTCAACGTGAGGATATATGCTCTTTGAAACATATATTATACATATAGTTATGGAAATATTCTCTCTCTTCGAATTGGAATTCAAACAAAAATATATAGCTTAATAATTAAGCAAGAATTAAACGGCAATCTAGCTAAAAGGAATCTGCTTTTACCGATGCAGGCGTCTATGCTCTTGCTGAACATGGAGCGGGTGGTTCTACCGACGGGGCAGGGTTTACAGACGAGCTGGTTGACTCCATCCTGGTATGTACCGATCGAGCACGGTGTGCACTGCTCTCCCTCGCTGAACGTCCCAGCAGGACAAGTCACTGAAACGCACACGAGACGATGCAACAAAAACATCACATGACTGTGACACACTTGTCATGCACCTCTGAATCTAACTGCGCCATAAAAAGAGGAGTAGCGAATTAGGATATGCCTGAGCCGTTACCGTGACAGCCGTCTCCATTTGAAATACTGACAACGCCTGCGCTACATTGAAATGAAACAACATGGGGCGAACAAACTCATGGCACATGGCTTCAGAAATATAACATCACCCACCGTACAGCAAGCGGCTCATTTCCGTATGCAACGTGTCTTATCACTACATGTATGATATATATTGTCACACAGAGTAAGTATCTGTAAAACTACTGGACATAACCAGTATGTTAGCAGACAGGAAACGATTTATTTTTATTTTCCATCAGCGCATACGCATATAATCCTAACCATCATGCTAATAATATCAGGAGTGTATAATATAGATATCATATGTATATTATTATACGTATGATATTATGTAAGAGATTATATCTAGATGAATGAGATTATATCACGTATATTATATGATATTATATATATCTATACTATACACTCCGGATAATATAACAGTATCGGACGCTACACACCCGAGCTGCACTTGTATGATTTGTACAGATCATGTATATACAGACTACAGATATATTGCAAGCTACGCACCTGAGCTGCACTTGTATGACTTGTACTACTACATGTAAACTACATGTATGACTTATACAGATCATGTACGACTACAGGCACTGGGACTACTACACACCCGAGCTGCACTTGTACGACTTGTACGGATCATGTATATACAGACTACAGATATATTGCAAGCTACGCACCCGAGCTGCACTTGTACGACTTGTACGGATCATGTATATACAGACTACAGATATATTGCGCGCTACGCACCTGAGCTGCACTTGTACGACTTGGACGGATCATGTATATACAGACTACAGATATATTGCAAGCTACGCACCCGAGCTGCACTTGTACGACTTGGACGGATCATGTATATACAGACTACAGATATATTGCGCGCTACGCACCTGAGCTGCACTTG